CTTTTCCAAACTCGTTGGTAAGCTTCTTATGGGAAGTACTTACTCCTGAACATTACTGAGAATGTCTCATACGAACCAATTCGCATTCAAGAGTCTCCCAACGATTCCCTTTCCACTATGTGTGTGCATCACACTCCAAGTAGCGCACATGACTAGGTCCCTCTTATAACCCCTTAGGACATCGGATAGACTCAAAATTTCGCTCCAGTTCTCATCTTCTACTCATCCGCCTCTCAATAGGTGTGGTTCCACCGGGAAATAACTTGGTCCCAACGCACACATATGATCTAGCACTTTGAGGTAAGTCGATAACCCTCTCCACTTGGTCTGCTTCTTTCCCCAACCTCATCCGCATTTAACCCACAAGGCTGGAACTACTTGTGATGCTGCTGCAACCGCCGGAGCAGGAGCCACCACAGGCAATCTGGGCAGTACCTGTGCCAACATTCCTTAGCACAGCCTCTAGGCCCCACCGGTGCCACCCATTCGCAGTAACTCCAGCTGCATTTCATGTTGCCCACATTTGCTGCACCTGCCGTATTCCCGGCTAGATTTGCTGCATTTCATCAGCTGCAGCGCCAGCCTCTAGGGCCTCGGCATCCCTTGCCACATTTCTGAACATCATCGCCGTTTCACCGAGTTTATAGAACCCTCGAGGGCCTGCTGCCCCGCATTGTTTCTCACAGCTCTCCTGGTTTCAACCATCTGCAAGTACAATCATGCCAGTTAGTCAAAGCTAACTCAATACGTGTTTCACAAACACAACACACAAAAACTTACCGCGAGACCTCGGCAGTGAAGAATGGATCGGAACACCTTAAAACCCCACACAATAGCAATCACCAGCAACCAGTCCTAGAAGCGTAAAATACTCTGATACCAACTTGTGGAGACCCAACTCGGCTAACTAAATCGCAGCCGTGCCTTCACAATACATCCTAACAGTCCGTTCTATACGCTAACCAAATTTTTTTAAACTTTTCTTTGCAATAACCAATACACAGCGGATTCAGATAACTCATTTCATTCCCTTATAACTTGCATAAAACACTTAAACAAGATTCGGGGTTCTGATAACACAATGCACAACGGTTCGCTAATAAATACAACGGATCATCTAGTAACCTAAAAACGGTCAGCACCAAAAGCCATAAGACCCAAAAACACATGTCTCAAACATAAAACACCCAATCCCCGATCCATCCCATGTCCATCACTGCCGCCCGGTCTCGCTCCACTGCTCCACTTGCTGCTTAGATCCTGCACACTCAAACAAGAGAGGCATAAGTATTGTCTTAAATAATTAGTGAGTACGGGTCATCGCGTAACACCTTGGCAGTACCATTCACGCATTCATACTATCGGATTCAACATCCCACATAATAAAAATTCGCGAATAAAACATAACACATATCAAACGGCCATGATCATCTACCCTAACCGCCCAAGTTCAATTCCTTTTTTAAGAACCCCATGTCTACTTCAGCGAGAATCCCACATCCGCTAAGCTAGTACATGCATCCGGATTATCTTGAGGTTAGTTAGACATCATCTATGCCACGGTAAACACCTCACAATATCATAGTATAGAATCGTTTACACACACGCTAACACTCAAAACATACAATCACACAATCAAACATGCAAAAACATCAAAACCCTAGCAATCCAACGATCCTAAATACTAACCACAGTTCACACACTCACCTTAGAAAAGGCTGGAAACAGATTGGTCAGAAGAAATCCCGATGAAAACTCGCGTGGAAACGAAGATATCCGATACACCCTAGAGATCTCTCGGCTACTGCTACGATCACGATCTCCTTATCCTCGATTATCTCTCGATCTGTCCACACTTTCTTCGATCCAAACTCTGTTTTTCTTTAAGATCGTCGGTTATCCGATGGAAACTCGACACAAAGGGAAATATCTGATCGCTTACCAGTTTATCTAGGCGATGGTCAGATCTGAACGGGAACCTTCAATCTCTCTCGGCTATTGTCGGGATAAACTGGCTTTTCTAGGGTTTTCTTTCGACTAATCTCCTTTTTCTTGCTTTTATTATTCTCAATAAACGCAACTCTCCCGAGATAAGTCTCAAAAACACATTATATACTCGTAAAACCCTAAGTAAAACTCGGTCTAAACCAACGTTTCCTGGTTTCAGTAGGATTTATCCCGATTCGATCAGATTATCTCGGCTATAACCCGTACCAGCTCTACCATCCGCGTGATAAACCACGTTTTATCTCCCGACCAACTCTCATGGCCCACGGCCCAGTTTTTTTTCCCTCCATTTTCCCACTGACTATTTCTTTTTCTCTCGAATAAAATCACCTTTTTATCCAAGTTATTTCCCTTCTGTCTGACTATTTTCCCATTTTCTCTCAGATAATCACACCTCAGCTAATTTTCATTTTTCTCTTGGAGACTTTCCTTTTCTCCGGACACAGTCCACTCTCACTCGGACTAGCCCCCCCATTTTCTCATGGACTGGACCATTTTCTCTCGAATATGGTCCATCGGCTTGGCTATCCCAGCCATCCATCGACTATTTCCAGTCATCACCCGACCATAGTCTTAACCTCCCAGCTCCCAGCCAATATCCGAACCTTGGCTCGCTCATACCGTCGGACAATGTCCGGTCCACCTCGATCATTTCTAATTTCCTCGGATAAGGATGCTACAGTAACCATCCCGGGTCAATCCTGGACAACTGGGTTTTCACCCGGTTTTAGGCTGGCTGCGGTTTGGGAAACAGGTTGGCAGACTGAGGTGTGCAAACCTCTTTAGTCTAGGGAGACTTCACCGCGAGCTGGATGAAGTTGATACTGTAGCACATAAATCGCAGTACTCTTGAGAGGTCTGGCCGCAAGCTGTACAAAGCTCGTAGACTGTGGCATCTTGATCACGGTACTCTCGGGAAATCTGGCCGCGAGCTGGCCCAAAGCTGGTAGACTGTGGCACCTTAGTCCAGTCGTGCCATATGATCTCTGCTAACTTCATTTGAGCTTTTTTGATCCTAGCTTATCCACCAAGCTCCATGTAGTCCCCATAGCTTCCATAGTACCTTAAAGACACTCCAATGTACTCACTAATTCTAAAATTGATGCAAACTAGACCATATTATACAAGTTAATGTTTGAAAGAATGCCAAATGCTATCCTAATTGAATGTTAAAATGATGAAAATAATTCAATTATCAAAGATCAATGTTCTGTTTGTTTATATTGATGTCTAACAGACTGATCGGAGATCCGGATTGGATGACTCGCTTAGGAGATGTGTGATTCTCATCGGAGCATGACAGAGTCTTAAGAAGGGATTATCTGATAGTTTGGGATAGATGATCATACTGTGAGTCTGTTTTGCTAAGTAATATTGATTTGTATTGGACTAGTAGTATGATTGTGTTATAGACTGTGATCTAGTGAGATGGATGACCGTATTCACTCAACATTTATCAAATGTTTATGTCTTTCTTTTGAGTGTGCTGGTAAGGATGTCATCCACGAGTGATGATTCTGATGGCATGATGGCGGCAGTGAAGGAAAGAGGATGGATCATGTTTTGGATTTATTGAATAAGAGGTATATACTTTGAAGAGCTTATAGCAAACTTGTCATTGTTTAAGAACCTCGGATTTATTCTAAGTGTTTTTTCTAAATCATATTTTTTTAACACTTTGTTCATTGATCTTCGTTTTGAAAGATTACAATATAGAAGAGATCTGACACGTAAAATACAGAGATAAACCAATGATCTTTCCTAACAAATTAATGAAAAGGGATTTCCTTGATGATACATTGGCGATACAAAAAAAAATTGTTTCGAAACTTGAAAATGACAATGAAAAGGTCAATAAAAGACGTTCACGTACCCACAATAGTAGACAAACTTCTTATACTTTTGACAACAATTCTCACAATGTAGATAGATATCTTCTTTGATCAAAACTTTACCTTTCCAATCAGATCAGTAAAGTAGAGGTGAGAAATGGATGATCCAAACCAGGTAGCATTGAATCTCCAAAAGAGATAAGCGAGTGATTGAACTAGGGAGAAACCAATCATGTTTCCAACGAACAAACAAAAAATCCTGACCATCCCAAAACAGAAAACCCACCAGAAACCAGATCTAAAAGATAGATCGAGAGCAAGAAGCAAAAAAAAAAAATTAAAGATATTTTGTGCAAATTAAACCTAAAATCAAAGAAATTCGGCATCCCAAACCACGCTTATGCCTAAATACAAACAGATCTGCAAATCACAAAATCACAAAAATAGAATTTTACAAAAAGACCGAAAAACTAATAGTTTAAACAAAAAACAAAGCAAAGAAATCAAATAGGAGTTCGACTCCAGTACTGAGAGAGCCACCGGAGTTCTTTTCTAAATCATTTATGCAATGGAATTGAATATCTGAAGTTGAATCGATATATTTAAGAAGTAAAAAAAAATTCTGAAAAATATGCTAAATATTCTATTTGGCCGAGAGATTAATGTAGGAAGGTTTAGCCGGGATAGAAAAGACAAGTCTACCAGAGTAAAAAAGTATACCGGTCAAAAGATTGCAAACTTTATTTGATAGACTTAATATATGTGGGCCGTAAACTTAATTTCCGGGTCATAAACTTATTTTCCGTCGTATGTTTATTAATGAGTGTCATGAGGGGTTTGACTCGGAACATCAAGATTACATTATTTATGATTCAAGTAATGTGCGAAGAATTTAGTCCCTGAATATTTCTACAAATTCACAGCAAACGCAGTAGTACAAAGGGTTGTGCCAAATATTAATCACTCATCAGCACATCCATAACAGGCGCCAAGGATTGTGTCACATTGACACAGCTATAAATAGCAAATCAAAACTAGAACCACCCGATGTTCCGAGTCAAACTCCCCATGCCCCACTCAAAACAATCCAAGTGTCTTCTCCTCATAGTACCTCAACTCATATATATTTCTCCTTTCCCTTATATATACTTAAATTCCTTACGAGAAACTATTTAACAAACTAATCCCATTTATTAATTTCAAAAGAGAGAAGAAGACACTCAAAATGACAAGCTTCGGAGCCGTCGCAGCTAACCTCCGCAACAAGGGACTTGTCACAAGAGCCACTCCGAGAGTTCTTGCTTGTGTCCCAACAAGACTCATTCATGTAATCTTTTTTTTAAATGATGATAGATATTAATACGCATAACTAATCTTTATGATCCTTAATTCTTTGAACAAATAACCAAAGGGGAGTACAAGGAAAGAAGCCTCCGTCTGTGACAAAGCCACCGAAGCTCAACAAAAGGTATATCAAAGCATTTGTTTTATTTTACAAAACTTTATTTCAGGTTTAACATATAGAAGAAAAAAACAACTTAGGTCTCTGTCGTTTACGTTTGTATTGGCGTTTACATGTAATTGATATTCCAGATTGATTCTTGATTACATTCAGAAAAAATAATTATAAATATTTATAGTATAACTTTCCATTTGCGTTCCCCTTTGATTTTGAGTTTATAACTACCAAATGAAATTCGTTTAAAAGTTTAATAGTTGTGAGTTCTTTAGAAAAATAAACACGGAAACGTAAAATTATATGTAAACGCAAATAAAAATAAAATTAAAATGAGAAATTATGTTATTTCATTTAATCTATCACTGAAAAAAAATTTATATAAAATATATGATCTATTTTTGCTCATATAAGCAATTTAATCGGACGATGTAGGTGGCCAAAAAGGCGGACGAAGGAGCACAGACTATCTCCGACGCAGCGGGTAGCCTGAAGGATAAGGCGAAAAAAACACTGCAGAGGAAGCCTGGAATAAGGTAAAGGACACAACGGAAAAGATTAAAGATACGGTCACAGAAAAAACAGAGGAAACCAAGGAGTCCATTAAAGCCAAAGCCAAGACCGTGGAGCAAAGCATGAACACCAAGAACCTCAAATAATAAACATACTATCAACTACAAATTTTCAATATATGAATAAGAATGTTATTTACCTAATGAATTTTTTTTTTTCGTTTACATGGAATTCTGGTTTATTTTTTTTTTTCATAAGACTGAATGATATAATCGTACAATAAAGAAAAATTTGGCCAACGAGAATAAATGGTGCATTATGTTTTGGTTTAATCGTAGGGCCGATCCTAATCATCTAGAGGCCTAAAGAAAATACAATTGTGGCCTTGGAATTTTAGAGGAAAGATGATAATTTACCTTTCTATTTGTTTTAGGAATGCAACATAAGAGTTTCGTAAACTTATATTTCCAAAACTATTATTGTTTCTTTATTTTAAGAAATACTAGGCTTTTAACTCGCGTTACGCGCGAGTCTGTATTAATAATTTGATTTAGTTCTTTTTTTGGCTACTATCTTTTAAATTATCAAAACTATAATATATTTATAGAAATTTAATTTTTATATAAAAAATTAAAACATAATATGTAGTTTTACCTAATTTTTTATTATAAAATTATAAATATTATTAAGTAAAATCATAGTAATAATATCTAACAAATTATCCAACTTCGACGTGTATATATTTGATTTAGAGAATAATTCCCTTACTAATTATTTAGTGTTTTGTTTTGTGTCCTTAGGATATCTATAGTTCTTCTTTTAAGGTTTATATGTTCAAATATTTAGTTTTGGATTAAATGTCTCACTAATGTTATGTACTTATGTATATATAGTATATGATTCATGTTGATTTGAATTTACTTTTGTTAGGATGCTACAATAGTCATGTAAAGCTGCTTCTTGTTTCTCTACCAGATCAACTATTTGATAGTTTTTGTTTTTAAACATGTAATGTAAGATGGTGTGGAGTCTTCACATTATCACTGTGTTTTTATATTTTGTGTGGTTTATTCATGTTTTGATTCGAATAATTTATCTAGATATATTTCAATTTGAATTTGATTCATAAATTTGTCATACTTTATTATTTAAAGGAAATTTTAGAAGACATTACTTATGTGTTGTTAATGTTGGTTAAGTTATTAGTAGTTCTATGTAAATTACTAGTTATATTTCGAATGTAAACTTACTTGTGTAGTATTTTTTGTTAGTTATTAAACCAGATGCAGCCAAGGTATTAGTCATTGTAAATTTAAATAATATGTTTGCTTTAGAAACTTGTATAACCTACTGTAACTTTATATGATTATTCATATTCAATATGAATTTTTTAGAACTAAATTTTAAACTAATTTTCTTCATAGCTTTTGTTTTTTGTTATTTTATATGTTTTTCGATGGTAATTTTATATTATATTTTTATTTATCAAGTTTTGTGCATGTTTGTTATATTTAAAACATATATATTTTTAATTAATCTCTTTGTTATTGATTTTCCAAATAGGTAGCATATATCAATTTAATCTCTTTAAAAATTATTTTTTACATTAATTTTTATTTTAATTATAATGCTCTTTTGACATGCTATAACTGGGCATTCTAAATTTTGTGTGGACTTCTCTCAAAATTTATACCATCATTTTTTTTTTCATTAATTTGTTTATGATAATTTTTCAAAATATTATTCCAAATATCAATCTAGGTTTTCTTTATACAATTGTTTCCTTTGATAATTTAACTCTCTTGATATTTATTTATATTTTATTTTAATACATAATTATTTTAAAAATATTGATATTTTTGAAAACATAAATTCTTTTTTTGTTTTGTTTTTTTTGTTAGTTAAATATTTTTATATTGATTTTTCAAGTAGTTAGTCTGATATCAAATCAATTTCTTTTTATGTGAGTTTTTAAAATTTAGCATTTTGTATAACTTAATTTCATTTTATTTTTCTTTGTTAATTAATTTCTTAATATTGATTTCTTAAATCATTAGCTTAAATATTTAACTTCTTTCTGCTAGTAAAGTTTTTTAGTATTGCTTAAGTTTTTGTATTTTCTTACTTATTTTGTTTATATTGATTTTATTAAATAAAAAATAGCATAGATATGAAGTTAATGTCCTTTTTTTTTGTTAATTTAACCTTTTTATATGAATTTTGATTTTAATTGTATTGACAGGTTGCGAAAAATAATTTGATATTTTCATATTTGATATTTTCTAAGAGATAGATTATCAAAATTTTTAGAAAATAATTTTATTTAAGAAAATATTTTTTTGCGAAAAACAATATCATATTTGATATTTTCTAAGAGATAGGTTATCAAAAATATTTTGAACATGGCAACATAATATAGTTTACAATATAGTAAATCCAAGTTTATAATATTGATATTTTCCTTTTCATTAAATGAACCTTTTTAAGTTTATTACTTATATTTGTATCAAATTTTCATTTTTACTATATTGATGATGTTGATATATACTCTTTTCGGTATTAACATATTGATAAATAGTTTTCCCTTTCCATTATTAAAAAATATATTACTATTGATATTTTCTTTTATTAATATTATAACTAATTAATTTTAATAGATAGATAATTAATTATCAATGCTGATGTGTACCAGAAGAATTAAACTTTTAAATCCTATGTGGACACCCTTAGAGGCATTTATCATCAATTTTTATCAGTAACTAGGTGTTTCCCCGCACCTTGTGCGGGGGTTGATTAAATTTTTTTAAAAGCATTAACATTAGTTTATTTATAGATAAAAAAATCAGATTTTATAATTATTTAAAACCAAAACTAATATATTTGAAAAAATAAAATTTTCATGAGTATATTGTTTTTTGTGATAAAGGAAAATATATTATTTATATCTTATTTTTTAATATCTTTTATATTATCCAATATAAACTTATATGTTAGCTTTGTTGTTTTGTTGCATTTATCAAACATGATAATGAATTCTCTTCTTTTGGTGTAAATTGGCAGATTAAGATTAATGAAATTTAAAGTTTGCATAAAAAATTACATAGGAATCCAAAATGACCAAAACCAAAAGATCTTTGTTTCATATCAACATAACATTAATCAAATATGATAAATAATTCTCTTCTTTTAGTGTAAATTGACAGATTAAGATTAATGAAATTTAAAGTTGGCATAAAAAAAATAACATAGAAATCCAAAATGACCAAAACCAAATGATCCTTGTTTCATATCAACATAACATTAATTAATATATATAAAGTTTTAAAAAGGGTTAAAGGATTTATGGTTTTACTGTTGGTCGCATAAATTAATTAGGTTAGTTAAAAATATTAGTAGGTTAAACAATCAAATTAAAATAAGTTTAAAAAAGATTTATGTTAGTTATCTTTTTTAGTAAACTGAATATTTTTATGATATAAACTCAAATTTAGAAATTTAACTTGAAAAAAACGAAAATCAATTAAAAATTATATTATATTAATTTATTAATTTCATTAAGGGTAAATAAAGTATTTTCATATAAAGAGTAAATAGTAATCAACCATCATAACTCTCAACCACAGCCTAACTTACTTGCCAATTAATAATATGATAGAAGATTTTGGAGAATAATAGAAAAGGTGCCACTAAATTTGTAAAGTAAAAATTAAAATCCAAGGATATAAGAATTTAAACACTTCTAATATTAATTTGATATTTAGGTAGGATATAGATGACTGATCAGTGAATTAAGGATCGCCACCAGCCCCGCCCAAATGGGGTAGGCAGAGGTGTACATGTCCAATGGCTCAATTTATTTACTTTTAAAATGCTATATATAATAGAGTTCATTTTTAAACAAATAAGTCCAAATAATTATATTTTTAATTAAAATTAGTATTTCTTAATAGAAAATTTATCATATAAGGGTCCGACAATTAAAATTTAGTGTAAGCTCTTGTGTTAGAAGGTCCAAAAATTTAAAATTTAATCTAAACTCTAATGTTAGAAAGCTTAAAAAAAAGTTTTGCTTTAAAACTTTCAATATTATTGGGCCAGAGCTGACCGCCACCAGTATGAAAGTCCTTGTCATGAATCTAAGTCCAAGTAAATCCATACAAAAGACATATACTCAGCTTGTTTTGTAAGCAGAGATCTACTATAGAAAAGCGAAAGACGAATCATAAATTTCAAAAAAGAAAAAAACTGAGTTTTTAAATGATAAGTGCATGAATACAAAAACATAGAGTAAACAAGGTTTTACCGGGTCAATATAACAGGATTTCTAATGATATACAGTAGAAATTCTATAAATTAATAATATTAGAACTTTAATATTTTATTAATTTATAGATTTTAGTAGTTAATTTTAGGAAAATAATTTTTAAAAAATTTCTTTTATTTAAAATAAAATATTTCCTTTTGAATGTGTATATTCATTTGATTTGTTCTTTATTTAAATTTTATCGTGCTTGATTGTTTACATACTTTTATGTTTTCCAAATTAGCTTTTTATTTTTATTTTTGGAAAAACAATTTATGTAAGAAAGCAATAATTGCATCCAGAACTCTTATAATTTTTGGATGCATTTAGAGAAGACAACACCAAAAAATTAAGAGACAATAAGAAATATTAGAGATGAGCTCCAAAAAGATTTCAATTTTAAGAAAAAAACAAACAACATTACATTCAAATTTTAGTAGATTATCTTAGTTATTTGCATAATTATTTTATATGATATTTATTAATTTACGATATTAATAAGACTATAATTTACATAGATTTTCAAAAAAAAAATATTATCTTACTAATTTATCGTTTGTGTTAAATTTTGAACCGATCCAACTCGGAACCGAGCAAAATTATTGATTTTTTGAGTTTATTAATTTATAGAATTTCTACTATACATACTAAAATAAGGAAGCAAATACAAAAAATAAAAAACAAGATAATTAAAGCAAAGAGCAAATGCTATCTGATGGGATATGGCTGTTTTAAGTCAATGTACTAGCCAAATTATAGGAGCTTTGATATATTCGTGGCTCTTTCGTATTCTCAAAGCTTCTTGGAGTGGCTCAAGATCAGAAACTAGCCGTTGAAAATGTTGTTGGGACCAATTTTACTATCTCCAAAGATAGCACGACAAATAGATATCGAACCACCCTAGATGGTGACATGGTTAGCTAGTTTGGCCAACAACTCTTAAACACTGTTTCAAGGCAGTTGGCGAGCTTCCCAAAATACGCATGCACCATCAGCACACCTGTTCCTCTGGTGCGCCAAATGGACAGGACAAGATCCTCTAGGGTCTGGTCG